CGAAAAGTACTTAGTTCTTTTTATTCAATTTCAGTGATCATCACTGAGTCTATTCAGTTATTGCTGAAAAAATATTGTAATTCTCAAGAGACAAGTATTCTTCAAGAAGACAAAACTCACATCACAAGAACCTTCAGTGATATCAAAGATAAAACTGAAGATAGAGACAAGTAATTCACGATCTGATGTTGTTTTAGTGATAACAATCCTGTCTACAAACATGTGTGAAGTCTGCTCAAGATTCAACAAACACCGAAGAAACTTTAGAGTTATTCAAGTGTCAGCGATCAAATTAATCTTGTTCAAGATTAGTTTTTTGTCTTATCCCTCTGCACAGAAAGGACAAACCCATACCTCTCAAAGTAAATCACTCATACAAAATTACCCTATTGTCTCCAAACGTGCTTACCTACTTTCTGAATGACTATTGTTCATATATGACCAAAAGGCTGTATATCTGAAGATAAAGGACAAGTTCACCTCTAGAATCTTGCCACGTGCCTTGTTATATCTGACTTACATTTAATGCAATGGGTATAAATAGTCATGGAGACTCTCCTCTCCAAATACCCAAGAAGAGAGACACATACAAGAAGCACATATTTCCTAACCTTGTGAAGTTACGTTTACTTTACGTGAAGAACATCAACTGAGCTTACTCTCAAGCAAAGTTATTGCATCTTCTTTAGCAAGTCTTTTCTTCCTTGCTTTTCTGTATCTTGTGTACTCCTTAGATTGTTTTAGATAACTTTTGTATTTTGTCATATTCCGCAAAAAATCTGTAAATTCTATATTGATCTTCTCTTATCAATAAAGGATTTTAAAAAGTGAAATATTTGTGTCTTTGTATTCATCCCTCCCCTTCTACAAATTGTTACTTTTAGACTCTTGTAAATCCGTCTAGGACCAACAATTTCCACCTCTAACGTTTTCATTATTGACCTTAAGRGTTTTCTTTGTCCTAACATTTCTAGCATTGTTATTTGAAAGAACCTTGTTATAAAGAACCTTGTTATGTCTATCAACCACATGCAGTAGGTTGATGAGTTTGTCAAAATGTTACATTCCAACTTATATTGGTTCATTAATATTTACTGATATATGAAGGGTGGAAATAAAGTTATGAATCATGTAATCTTCTGTGAGTTCCTTGCCATGAAAATTGAGATGAATTTTGAGACAGAACATTTCTTTGTTGAAATCAGTCATCTTCTTATAATCGAGTGAGTTCCATTCCACTGTATAATTAGTTTGGGAAGTACATCCTAATGAATACTCYTGATTTTCCTTTTCAGGGCATCCAACAGTTCTTGGGGATTATAGTTTAGGATATTCCGTATAAAGGTTGTGATTTATGTGTCATCTCAAAAATCTCAAGTTATTTACTTATACCTTAACAGTTGACTTTTAGGGTCAATAGGTTTTGATGAGTTTTAGGTATATTATTGTACATTTCCAACAGAAATAGTCTTTCTATTGGACATCATCTATGGTACTTAAGTTCTTTTGAGTTTAGGACATCGAATCCCAGAATTAAAATAAAGTGGAGAGAATGAATATGTAATTCCCAGTAATCAAAAACCTTTAAATATGGACGATTACTTAGAGGTAATGATAAGCATGGAAGGAGATTTACTCCATAAATAACAATAAACGTTTATGTCTATCTTTATTTCCACATTCTTTTGACGATGACATATTTATCCTACAATATTTTTGAATATTTATAGAAACAAAATATAAATTAGAGTAAATTGCAATTTTGGTCCCCATGGTTTTTTGTTTTTCTTGGTTTGAGTCCTTACAAAATTTTATTGCAAAAAACCCTCGTGATATGCAAAAGTGCTTGGTTTAGATCCCTAAGGGCTAACTATGTTAGATTGCCTCATGTTAAACACCCTTATGTGCCTTGCATGCTAGGGTAAATGGATCATTTTGCATTACTCTCCTTCTTTTATCCTTTTAACCGGCTAAAACCCTCACTGGTGACCTCTATACCCCTTTTCCTTTCCATTTTCTTCGATCATCCTCTTCTCTCATTCTTGTCCGGAAATTCACTCGACACAACCAACATCTCATCTTCTCCTTTCTCCCTTCTCCCACCTCTTTTTATTTATCACTTCTCACTAATGAACACACACCATCGCTGCACCACCACCAGCACCTCCACCACCTTCGTCGATGCTTCTCACTTTTCTCCATCTAAATCCAGGTCGATTAGACCCTGATTCAATGATGATTTGAGTGTAGATGAACGACATCCGAGCTTTATGTTTCTGTTGATTTTGAACGAATACCAGATGGAAAAAAGGATTTGGAATCGCTTCCTTCTACCGACAGTCCAGAAGGGCAATCCGATGGAAATTGGAAAAAAGAAAAGGTTAGAAATCGAAATTGAATTAAATCCACACGCTGGCTTTTTAAACAAAGGGATTTCAAAGCGACATCTGGAACTCTGTTGCCTCTACTGTGGAAGATTGGTTATTTGTGGCGCTCTCCATAAAAGGAGAAAAGTGTTTCGAGGAAACAAGGGAAGGAAAACCGACTGCCGTCATCATCGTCTTCGGGAATGATGCTGAGTTTTTGAAAGCATTTTTAAACAAAAAATATAAGGTCATAAAAAAGGCAATGGAAGAAGAAGAGAAGATCAACATATTGACTATGTCATTGGTTTATATACAAAGTTCTATGGTTTTATATTTCTTTTCTGTCTTTAATCAATATGTAATTGTTGATTCTGGAATTTTAACCGAAAACCTAGAAACTATTTGACTGGAGGGCACAGACGGACCTAGGTAAGGATCATGGGTGGCACGTGCCACCATATTATTTCTCCGCCGAAGGGTAAAAAAATTTGGTTTGTGAATGGTGCTATCGTATCGTTTTAGAAGGTGCTACCGTATTTTCTAGAATTCCAAATAGTGCAACTAAAACCCAAATAAAACAGAGCCCAAATAGCCAAATCAAAATTCTAAAATGCAAAGCCCAATTGCCCAAACCAAATCAAAAATTGTTCTAAATTAAACAAAGCCCATAATATATCTATTAATCAAACAAATGAAATGACAAAGGCCTTACTTAGGCTTAGGCCAATAGCCTTTAAGGCTTAAAGCCTTAAACCATACCAGTCGGCCAAGGTGATTCGATTGGAATGATTAGAACGATTCAGATCAGTAGCAACAACAATTGAGCAACAACGAGTCACGATTTGGGTGATTCGACTGGAATGATTCAGATGATTCTTGAAGACTCGGATGATTCTCAAACGATTCTCGAACGATTCTCACTTCAGTCACTTGCTACATGGCTATTTGGTGACTTTGATCTCTATTTTCAGATTTACCCATTTTAGGTATCCATTTTTACTCTTAATCTTAGATTACTTATCTATTGATCATCAATACAATTTTACATTATTCTAGTTTATAAGTTCATTAGTAATTAGTTGTAGTTAAGACTGTTAAGTAGTTTTAGTTGATTACTTGATTACTCTTAAGTTAAGTAGTTAACTTTTGAATTTGATGATGATTTATCGCTCTGCTTGACTGCTTGAATAATGATCATTGATTTGCTTTATTAATGATCATCGCTCTGCTTGACTACTTGAATAATGATCAATTCATGACTGTTTTTGACAAAATGGCAAAATACAGAGAATGCCAGAATGATCAATGATGGTTTGTTCACTTCAGTAGAGAGTAGTTCAGTACGTTAGTTTGATCAATGATCATTGATTTGCTTCATTAGTTCATTAGTTGATTACTGAGTTTAGTTGATGATGTTCAGTCTTCAGATGTTGATTAGATTTACATTACTCATTGCTGATTACTTGATCATTGCTTTATTACTTAGATTTACATTACTCATTCATTATGGAAAAGTATTTGAAACGAAAAGCTTCATCAACTGGTAATAATGATACATCCAACAATGTGATTGATGTTAACGATCTTCCTTGGGATCCATCAGAGAGACCCAAAATTATAACTTATAACCCAAATCAAAGAGATGAAATTAGAAGAAAATACTTGGTAAGGGGTCCTTGTCAACCACGAGGTCACATCTTTCCAACCAAAGTTATTGGGGCTAAAGCAAGACGGTTTGTTGTTACTTGGTTTGATCAATTTTAGTGGTTGGAATACAGTGTAAAAATAGATAGAGCATATTGTTTGCCTTGTTACTTGTTTAGAGACCAAGGTTGGAATCATGGGATGGATACATTTGTGACGGAGGATGTTAGCTCTCATCATCTTTGAATGTAAAAGTATCGAAAAAGTAACACAGCAAGTTTTGACAGAAGATGATCTGTTACAGAAGACCGCAGAGGACATTCAACAAAGTATCCCATCATACAAGTCAAAGGTGACAGAACCTCTGTCGTGTCTCACAGAGGTTCTGGAAGATTGTTCCTCTGTATCAAACATTCAGGTCACAAACAGCAGAACCTCTGTGGTATCTCACAGAGGGTCTGCAGTTAGTCTTCTGTGAGGATCTCTATGTACTTAGGTTTATTAGCTGCTCGTGCTAAACACGTGATCATGTCAGTAATCTGCTTTATTTGGACGGCTTAGATTAAATATTTCGTCTAGGTCTGTCTTGGCGGTTATTTGCTTGTATAAAAGCAGCTTTAGGCCTTTGTATTTAAGAGTGCTTCCAGTATTGTAATAGTTAACACTTTTCCATGTGAAAATCATTTGAAGCATTTCTTTCTCTGTGTTCTTCAAGAGTTCTTCATTGTGTTCTTATTGATTTCTACCTGCTTGATTTATAACTGTCTGCTGCATACTCAATGTCTATCTATTTAATCAAGTAAGTTTTCAATACCCTGAACTGAGTAATACGGTCCAACAGAGGAATTCAATATTTGGAGTAAAAAATATAGACATACGCTTCATAAGGGTGAGGTTAATAGTTTTCACCATAAAGCACTTAAAAAATGTGAAGATTTGGTTAACCAAAACCAATCAATTGTTGTTGCCCTTCGTAAGCAAACAGAACTCATGAAGACCGAGTACCACATGCGATTGAATGCTTCCGTTGAAGTTTGTAGATACTTGTTGGAGAATGTTTTACCATCTCGTGGCAACAATGAGTCGGAAAAGTCTATATACAAAGGGCTTTTCTTGGGGGCTTTAAAGTTAATCGGAAGAACAAATGGTGATATTGAAAAGGTTATATTACAAAATGCCCCGAAGAACAATCAGTTGACATATCCAAAGATTCAAAAAGATCTTGTTACTTGCTTTGTAGAAGAGTTGTTGAAATCCATTATTAGGGAAATTGGTGATGATGTATTAGCTTTGTTGGTGGATGAGTCTAGTGATGTCTCTAGGTAAGAGGACAAGGTTATGATGATGCTAGCATTATGAGTGGTAAGTTTAATGGGTTGAAAGCTTTGATCTTGAGTGATAATAACTCGACATTTTATATACATTGTTTTGCCCATCAATTTCAGTTAGTAGTTGTGGCGGTTGCAAAAAAACACGAAGGTATTAAGGACTTCTTTGATTTGCTTGCCTTGGTTGTTACTGTTGTAAACTCTTCATGCAAACGAAAAGATATGCTACGAGAAAGTCACAAAGAGAGAATTCAAGAAGAAATTRGAAATAACGAAATTGAGACTGGTAAGGGGTTAAACCAAGAGATTTCCCTTGTACGAGCTGGAGATACACGATGGAATCCTCATCTTAAAACAATCGTGAGTTTGATCGCTTTGTTTCCGGAAGTTATATAGGTGTTTAAATATGTCGAAGATGATGGTGATAATGGAGCTAGTCGGATTCAAGCAAGAGGTCTTTTATCATACTTAAAAACATTTGAATGTGTGTTTTATATGAACTTGATATCAAAGATCTTAAGGTTAACAAATTCATTGTCTTAAGCTCTTCAAAGGAAAGATGAAGACATCTTGGAAGCTGTTGAATTGATAGGAACAACCAAAGGTCAATTACTAATCTTGAGAGAAAATGGGTTTGATCAAATTTTGGAGAAATGCTACTCTTTTTGTGATAAACATAAGATTATCAAGTTGGATACAACTGAAGCTTATGTTAATACAATAAATCCAAGGAAGAGGATGAACATTAACAATCAACATTACTATAACTATGATATATTCAACACTATTTTGGATATGCAGATCTGAGAGTTTGGTGATCGTTTTTGTGAGATAAGCACCAACTTGCTCTAAAATATGACAGCTTTGAATCCACGCAAATCGTTTTCTCAGTTTAACAAATCAAGCCTATTGAAGTTGAGTCAGATGTATCCCCGAGATTTTGAAGACAAGGAAAGGATCATTCTTGAGCACGAACTTGACATCTACTATCATTCTGTTTATAATGATGTCAGATTTGCCAACTTAAACGGTATTGCCGACCTCGCCAGATTGATGGTGGCAACAAGAAAGCATGTTTCTCATCCTTTAGTCTACCGGTTATTGAAGCTAACACTAGTTTTGTCTGTTGCAACTGCTACGGTTGAAAGATGCTTTTCGGCGATTTAAGTTTCTCAAGACAGATTTACGTAATCAAATTGGTGATGACTTTTTGAATTATGCCCTCATTTGTGCCATAGAAAAGGAAGCACATAGTAATGTTAAAAATGAAAATGTCATCGATCGTTTCAAAAAGATGAAGACACGCCGATGACAAATATAGGTGTTGTTTCTCAATTCTATAAAAATCATACTTTTTGTAATTATTTTTGGGTATATACTGACTGTTTTCAAAAGATGAAGACGCGTCGGGTATAAGTTTAGGAGTTGTTTATCGGTCCTATAAAAACCATATTTTTTGTAATTATTTTTTGATGTATATTATATTATATTAATTATATGGTGCCACCGTTTGAAAAATTTTCTGGGTCCGTCCCATCTGCGATCCTTTTCCTACAAAATTTCGCTATGTGTCCAAGTTTCTGGCAGTGATAACACTGCATAGGAGAAGGTTTGCCTCTACCCTTCCCCTTGAAATTCGTCTGTGACTCTCTCGGTTGAAACCTGTTTCTGTCTTGACGGGTTGAACTACTTGGTGATTGCAATTGAGACGCCTGCTCATATGGATTGCCATCGAACTGTTTCATCCTGAGTTCGTGAGATTGGAGGATTCCCAACAATCTTTCAAGTGAGATAATAGAGATATCCTTTGATTCCTTTATCGCTACTACCACATATTCAAATTTTCGAGTTAAACTCCTTAAGATCTTTTCTACAACTCTTCTATCTTCTATTATTTCACCATTGAGACGAAGTTGATTCATAACAAGGATAGTTCTGTTGTAAAAATCCTCGATGGTTTCTGAATCCTTCATCTTTAAACCATCGAATTTGCATCTCAAAGTTTGGAGTCTTACTGTCTTGACTTTTTCTTCTCCTTTGTATGTTCTATGTAGCATATCCCATGCTTCTTTCGTTGTTTCTGTTGTAGATATCCTCTCAAATATCGTTTCATCTACGGCTTGGTAGATTGTGAATAGTGCCTTCTTGTCTTTCTTTTTAAGTTCTCTGATTTCCCTTTCCTATTCTTCGGTGAAATCGTTCAATTCTATAAGTTCATTAACACCTTGATTGATGATGTCCCACAATTCTTGAGACTCGAACAATACCTTCATCTGGATATTCCAGTGATGGTAATTTCTCCCATTTAATTTGGGTAGAGGATGATGAATAATGCTATTTGAAGTCGAAGCCATTGAAGAACACGAGCTTTTTGGAACCAAAGCATCACACAAACTAATAATTCTGTTATTATTGTTGAAACATCATACATTAAAAACAGCAAACAAACTGAAACCTATATACTAAACCAAAGGACACATCCGTTCAGACCAACAGATGCGACACCCTTTCATATGACAGTTAAATAACTGTCATGTAACCCGTAACGGCTATAAACTAAATTAACGGTAACAGAATAAACGACCATATAGTGATATTAACGACTTTATGAAACCAGATTCTAGTTTAAATTTAACAAATCATACTTCATGGTTTCCGAAGTTTTTCATGGATTATTCCATCATGCATCAATTTGGGTTTCAATAAAGTTCGTACATGATCTATGAACAACTGTTAGGTTTCACCTTAATAGAAATTGCAAATTAAAACTCACTAGGATAAGTGGTATTATTGAACCAGACAACTCCGAAAGACAATTCGATTTTATTCCTCCGAAACAACGGATGATTCCGTACTACAGTTCCATGGCGGAACTTTTTTTTGTTCCAACAAATTCCCTTTATTTTTAGGCAAGACGACTATAACTAATGAATTAAAATGATGTGGGTATGAGAAACACCATGAAAGATGTCAGCTACCGTTGCTATTAATTAAAAATAAAATTTAATTAAAAAGAAAATTTAATTAAAAAGAAAAATTAATTAAAAAGAAAAATGAATAGAAAGAGACATTGCAACCCAAATCTACTCCAAAAGTATGCTTCATTGGATTAGATATATAGGCATATTTGGTCCTCATGTTTGGAGACTCATCCTAACAGAGGTGCTAATCCAATAAGATGTGAATAACATTTATTTGAAGAAGTCCTTTTATCCATAAAAGAGTCAAGAAAAATAGGGTCAGATTTAACCTAGCGATTAAAACACCTACAACAATTTCACGTCTATAAGACGCTTAAAATTATTTAAATGTCATAGTATCTATTTTATAGGACCGAACACTTGTGTGTCATATGTAAAAGTGTTACAGCAAGTTCATATATCGTTTTTGGGCATCTTAACAACTTTTTAGAACATTATTTTAAATAAATTGTCCTATTAGCTCTTTTATAGAACCCTTTTGAGATATGTCATATGAACACATCTGAGATATGTCCTATGAACACATCTTTCAATTGGATCCGTCTTTCATATTTTTCAAATAATGTCGTTAGTACGGTCAAGATAAAGTGAGGAAAAGTATTTTGGTCTAATCCATATAACTTGTCGATGGTTTGCCAGTTGTTGGTTAATTGGGAGGTGCTAGAAGGTCTAGCTAGTTTGCTTATTGTAGTATAACTAGATGTACTCTTTATTTTATATTTTTCATATGTTGACTTCCAACCTTATTTTCTCTCAATTTTCTCTCTGCCATATATGGTATCAGAACAAGACGACCTTATTGCTTGCTTCAGTTTTTCCATTTGATTAGATTCAATTTCATATTCGCTTCTTCAATCAATTTCCCTTACATATTCGCTATGCCTAAATTCAATGATCAATCATCCAATCAAATTGTATCCACCATTGATAATAGGGTTTCATAATTTCTCTGGCGGTTGAGATTTCATATGGCAAATAAAGCTAATCCTAACAAGAACAAACCACTTGGTTCACATTGTGATGTCGGGACATATTAAGAAGCGTTGCTATGAGCTTCAAGGTTATCCGATTGGCTATAAAACGTAGCTAACGAGTCAATTACGTGAGTGAAAATAAAGGTAATTACTATTCCTTATCCGTTCTTGCACAAAAGGTTAGGTCAGATGGTTGGGTTGTTGATTATGGTGCATTGCAACATATTTTCAACGACCTTCACAAATTTGAAAATAGGAGTATCGGATGTGGCTTAAAGCGGTGTTGGATCTTGTGATCAGCAAGCAGTAATCTACTTTCATCAAGGGACATAAGTGGAGATCTTAGGTGCATGGCTGTTTATCCACCGCCAAAGTCTTGGTTCTTGTTAGCGGGTCGCTATAAAAGAACTTTTGATGGAAAAAGGAGTGAAGAAAGGTGATACGATCACCCCCTTTCTATTTGTTTTGGTTGTTGAGGGGCTGAAAATTGCGATTGACGAGACTGTCGAAAAAGGGTTGTTTCAAGGTGTTTCTCTCCCTAACAATGGCCCTAACACTATATTTCTCAAGACTGGTTGCGAGATCATTTTTTTGAATTTGGTGAGAATTTTAAGGTGTTGTCATCTTGCCGCCATTCTCAAGATCAACTTCGACAAAAGAAAAGTAGGGGAGATTGGAGTTAAATCGAAGGAGGTGTTGGCCATGGATAGGATGATGAATTACAAAGATTGCTCTATTCCATTTTCTTATCTTGGTATGCCAGCGCGAGCTAGAATGTCAAAGGTTGAAAGTTCCGCTACATCAAAATTGATTTTATAGGACGCGGCCAATTTCAAAGCGTCCTATTATACTGCTTTATAGGACTCAGCTTATAGGATCAAAATAATAAAGGGTCTTATCTAAAGTCGTTGCAATAAGTTTATAGGAGGTTTTTGGACGTCTTAACAAGTTTTATAGGCTTTTTTAATACAAAGCGTCTCATTAACTATTTTATAAGACACTATTTGAAAAAGGTCTTATAAAAACCAGTGTACTATAAAAAGACGGGTTTATAGGAGACTTTTTCAAAAATTTCCTATAAAATAGTTGATAGGACGATTTGTATTAAAACTGTCCTATAAAACTTGCTAAAACGCCAAAAACACAATTGATGGGATGATGCTTCTGCTCTACCGCATTATGATGCAGTGGTATGGCAGAGGTGGCAGGACGGAAGAAGAAAAGGAGACTTTAAGGCTTTGGCATGCATTAGGATATTTATTATAYGCTRACTGGTWGAGGATGATGTTCAAGTACAGGTCAATCGTATATGCAAGGAACAGATGTGGATGAGGTATTATATTCATTCATCTGATATGACTCAACCTTAAGTTCCATTACTAATCTTGTGTATGTATATATTCAATAAATATGAACAGGTGTATAGATTTTTCATATGGATTCGCATATGTATATCGAAATGAATTTTTTCAATAATTCACATAAGAACCTTCTTTTTTTACCTTCTCATGATATTTAGTCTTTCTCAATTATTTGAACCTCCCATTATATATATATATATATATATATACATATATATATATATATATATAT